TATATCTATACAGTCTATGCATTAAAATGAATTCGATCTTTTCGGAATCACTCCTAAAGACAATTATGTGGAAAATAGCAGGAAACACCAGTATAATCACCTGCAATCTGTTATGACGATGATGCACCGTCTGCGCTTTCTAACCTGCCGCAGAGGCAGGAAGAAGAGACAGCCAGTCGCTAGCGAGGAGAAGAAGAAGAAGACGAAGAAGCAGAAGAAGAAGAAAGTCATCGAACATTCCGAATTATTCGAGTGCCTACGAAAAAAAGTCATCTAGACACGACGCGACCCACTTTGGAGCCACTTTTGCCTCTCCCAAGAATGTGCGAAAATTGCCGCGGTCAGAATAAACATTTGCGAAATCGAAATTCAAAGTGTTTTAAGGTAATCCATTGCTTCGAATTTATTGTCTTCCACAATAAGATCTGAACACAAACTTTTTTCGCGTACCATATAGGGCGAAATATACGGTGAGTCAAAAATGTGTACAGAGATTCCTGGAGGTGATAGAACATAAAATAAGCATCTCTGGTAGTAGTCCATGCTCAAATTGGATAATTAAGAGAACAAAGACTTTGAGTTTGTTCTTTTTAATTATAAAATGAGCATATTGATCAACAGTAAAAACACAAGAGCTTTTTTTTATCGGATACTTCCCAACGAAAACATTTGCCAATCAGTAATTTTTCGAGAAAAACTGACATGAAATAATTGCGAGACCGTAGGTCGAGCAATTTAGTCTAATGTCAGTTTTTCGAGCGAAATTACTGATGGAAAATGTTTGAGTTAGGAAAGAAATTTATCCATTAAAAAAAAGTTCGAGTGTTTTTTGGCATGATAAATCAACGACAATGTATAAATAAATAACAACAATAATTAACTTTAACTATTTGGGGCACCGGTGTTTTTTCTCTCAATTCGTAATTTCTGGCTTCACAAAACTCCATGAATTGTCTCCAAATCGACGATTTAGTGTTTTTAGTTGCTTAGACAGAAATTGAAGTGACGGTCGCATACTCGATGAAGGAACATGCATTTTTACAGCCATAAAAAAGGATGCACCCTTTTTATCGATGTCAAAATGACTCACGTGGTCTTCAAATAGGGTTTTCCGTGTATAGGAGTTGATTTATCAAAAATAAACTAATGGCCTAAAATGTGTATTGGGGGAGACATATCCTTCCAAAGCGTTCCAAAGTTAAGTTAAAATATTTTTTCTGCATAACTTCTAAACGGTAAAAGCCACAAAATTGAAATTTCCTGCATGAATGTATGTTGATAAAATACATTTTTCTAATACACTTACACATTTCTGCTATAGTGATGAAGGGTGTATTTAGAGGGTTGAACATGATTTTTTGAAGACAACTTTATCCCCTGTATCATTTTTGGTGAAAAAATAGGAGCATCTGATAGAGCGAAAGAAAATTACATAAAAAAGGTATACTCCTATCAAGATACGAAAAATTCAACCGTTCTCGACATTTGAGTTTTTGTAGTCACATGATATGGCAGTGAATCAGATAAGGACTTGTTGTAAGCCGTTTTGATCGATAATGAATAGTTTCGACACAGAAAAATACTAAAATTGAAAAATCTCGATTTTGAACAGCCTATATCTCTGTAATCATTCCTGCTAGACCTCAAGTGTGATGCATTGATGAAATCAGCTCTCCGGGTAGAATCCAAAAATGCAATAAAATACAGGGTGCTCCATTCGAAATAACGAAGTTGCTGGTTGTTTCTGATAGAAGTGGCAACACTGTATCGATGAAAATATTTTGGACGGATAGAGAATCTTCAATTATCAATGCATTCCAATTTTGGGAATGTTCTGTCTTTTCGTTCTGAACCAAAACTCAAAACTGGTATCCGAGTCTATCTATTTTGAACCATGCAAACGGATCGCATCATGGATTCCATTTCTTTATAAATTCTCGATTTACCTTTTCTTATCCAGAATAGTCTAAAGAACTCAACATGTCGATTCAAAGAAATTATAGTACTATCAACAATAAGTGCGAAGAGAAATATCGGATACCTCAATACCCGATAATCGGAATAAGATTACAGTTATTCGCATCTGAATCTGTATAAAGCTGCTTCTCAGTGACCTTCTAGAGCGGGTTTTGCCCTTTGCAAATAAAACGCAAGGAATGCAGTTGCATAATTATTATTACTTCATAGCCGCTTTGATTTATTCAATTTTCGCGGAGAATGTACTTATACTAAACGACGAGTTCCTATACAAATAATTCTTTCAGATCATTATTCATGTTTTCAAGTCAATCCTTTATGCGAGATATACTTTTTTATTTTCAATTTTGAAAGAACAAAATCAGTAGGTAAATTTTATTTTTTTTTTAATTTTGAATGAAGGAATAAGATTGTAGAAAAATTTTGTAAACATCTATATTCTTTAATTTTCTTAAATGCTGAAACATATAATAATAATAATCTTAACGCGATCATAAGACAATGTGAAGTTGAAATTTTCAATGAAGTGTGAAAAAAATGAAATTCTCAAACCAATAAATATTTCACTTTAATTTTTTCATAGAAAAATAGTATGAAGGTTCAGACGATTTTCTCCCAAACTACACCTTCTCATTGTTGAAGGGTAAATAGAACAATCCTTTCACACGATATTTTTATTTTTTCTGTGACGGAAAAAACGTTTGAAATTTCATCTCTGTTGCCTGTTGAAACTTCAAATTGAACATCGATGATTTTCTGATTTTAATATACCTAATATCTTCTCAATATTGATCATTCTAGAACACGTGATTTTGACATAGTTTCTTGAGGGGCAAACTATCTGTTTGATGAGCATAGCCCTGATGGCCATTCCTGCCACATCCACAATATAATAACAGTTTCACCAAACAAAATTATGAAATTCTTTCTGGTTCCAACTCGGATTCAAAAGAGAACGATCCCACAAATTCTGGTTTTATATGACAAATCTTGTCAAAATACAATATTTGCCACTCAGCAATCTGTCAAATGACGTAATTCTGGAATGATTGATTCTTTCTTTTTCCTGTCACAGAAAAAATAGTGAATTATACACGGGAAAAATATTAAATTTTGTCTACTCACTGCATCGAAAGTAAGCCTCTGCGTGCCTCTGCTCTCTCATTCAAAAGGACACAAACATGTCAATTTACTCCCACGGGAGCTCGCACGGGAGTAAACAAAATTCTCTCGGTAATTTTGCACTCATCATGCGATGGGTTTTTTTTCGAAAATTTTTTTTGGTACTTACGTATTTTTGTCTGAAAAACACGAATTTGATAATGAAAATGTGAACAAACCATTATTTATTGAGATATTTCACTATAAAGTTACAAATTTCACCTTCTTTTCCGCCTGTCTTTGGGGCGCATTTAGAACAATTTGCCCTTCTTTTTCCATCATTGGACAATTTATATATCACACAATGTTGGACACATATTTTTTATTATATGAGTCAACTAGAAATATGATTTTATTGTGATTTATCCATGTTTAGTGAAAAGAAGGAAGAATATCATTTGAAATAATGGCGTGTGTGATGTCATTCCAAAGCAATCTATTGACATTTGACATCTCCTATTTGGATTACCCATCGATTAAATGGCGGTCATCTGGTATGCTTGCTCACTAAATAGGAAAAACTCACCATAAAATCATATTTCCTGTTGAATTTTCTAGCTTAAAATGTGTCATTGAAGTACATCATGAGTATATGAAGTGTCCAATGACAAAATAAAAAGAGCAAGTACCTGTAAATGCATCCAACACAAGGGGGAAAATAAGGCAAAATTTCGAACTTTTTCTTGAAATATCTCGATAAATATTGGTTTGTTCACATTTTCAATATCAAATTCGTGTTTTTCAGACAAAAATACGTAAGTACCAAAAAAAATTTTCGAAAAAAAAACCATCGCATGATAAGTGCAAAATTACCATTCTCTCCCATGGGAGTAAAAATGAATCGGCTTCAGCTTGCTTCCTTGATGGTACAGATAATAAACGTATAAAATACTCAATGGTGCTACCCAAGTACCTGATCAGTGTCTCCATCACTACTATAAAACAAATAACAACTTCCTTTTCGAACAACAATGATCTCAAACACTTCCTCATTTTACAAACTCACTCAATCGAAAGTCGAAACTTCAAATAAAATGCAATATCACAATACAATGAACAAATTCAAAATGACCTAACTGTCAGAAATTAATTTTCGTTCAGATGTTCAGATTCAAATACTGTCAATTATTGTCCATGGCATACTCTGTGGGAGCATACCAACCACACTTTTGTAACCTTAGATCATGTAACACATTGATTTTGATCGAGACTCGAGAGATAAGAGCGTTTGCAACTCAGGTTTGCAGCATAATTTTGAGAACGACGCTCTCTGCTCTCAAATATACGCGTTCGTGGATAAAATAAATATACATATAGGTATATATCTTGGGAGCAAAGGTTCATTTTCTCCCATGTGTGAAATCATTATTTCATTGTACCAGTATTTCACCTGATGAAGCTACTGTGTTATCGAAACATGTCGTGTGACTAAGAATTTTGTGGAAATTTCATCGTTTGTGAAGTTTTTAGGTCTGGGAATTTTACCAATCCTGAGTTTGCTCAGAGATCAGTCAGTGGGTGACTGATCTCTGGTTTGCTTGACATATGCTGCCATCTATTGGGATTCGAAATAACATTTTGAAATTTTATTATGACTCCATTTGTTGGAAGTATCCTTCTAAATAGCATATATAGTATCTGAAACTTTCATATTGCACAACTAGATGTCGCAACTCTCATTTTGTGCAAGGTTGGTAGAACTGATGATTATTTTGATTTATTAGTTTTGAGGGTTTTGAGACATTGTGGTCTTAATGATTGATTATACACATTACACTGTGCCACAGCCTGTTTATTGAATTACATGAAAACTGTAGATTGAATGAATACAAAATTAAAATGTGTTTACAAAAGGAATACTGTTATTTCTCGATATCTGCCTTCACACTAGTTTTTTCTTCAACCAGTTGATCATAATCACCATTCAATCGATCAGCAGGCATCGTAGTACTACTGATGAAGAAAATATTCTTCTGCAACATGTTTTTCGAGAAGTCCATCATTTTGACTCCAATACAAAACATGGCGACCGCTCCAAACAAGTAAATCAACACATATGCTATTCCTGCTGAATCGGCGATTTCATCATAATGCCCTTCGGACAAGTATCTGTAAATCCAGTTGGGTATGTAAAAGGTCCTATACAGACCAAGGGCTACCAGATAGATCAGTACATGTTTTGTCAGCATCTTGGTTTTGAGGATCATGTAGAATTGTGGAATGATGGCCAATGCTTCCAAGTAAATACTGAATGTCCACAAAATCTTGAAAAAAGATGCAATATGTTGTTTCGCCATAATGTACCTGTGCCTAAATTACAATCTCCAAAAGTTCAAAAAGAATTCCAATATCTACCTCTTCTCCCTATCCTCCCTATCCTCCCTAGATGTTTTTTGACCTTGAAGGGATTCCCTTTCCAGCTCCAGATAAAAAAATTGAAATTACTCACCTTTGTTGGGGTGTTCTCGTGGTTTATGGTAACAGCAAGTATCATTGATGGTACGATCAGAATTTCTGTTAAAAATGTATCGTCTTTCCATTGGTATGTCTTTCTATAGAAAATGAAGATGCAAAATATAGTCACTGCAGTGGCTGCAGTGAGTGATATGTAATGTATCTTAATTATAGTATTGTAAACGGACACAAAGTTGAAAAGCAAGTCCAAGTATCTAGTGGTATAAACCAGGAAAAACAAAAGTTGGCTTTTTCCAGAAATACCTGAAAAATAAAGAAATTTCATCAATTGGGATTTCATATAAAGGTCATGTAGATATACCACGTAACTCAGTTCTGTGAGGTATACTAGATGAAATAGGATTAGGTACACCTGCTGACTTGAAAACTCAACTTACCACAACATGATTTGCATCCGATCATAAAACTTATGAGAAAAAATATCGCAAAGCCATGACAAGAGTCACCAGCAAGTCTGAAGATATCCATAATTGTGAATCACAAATTCACAAAGCAAAAACACTAACTATAAAAAAGTTTCATTTTCATTAGGTATGTGTGTTCTCTGTAGCTGTAGGTACTGTACGAAGATTCTAAAATTTTTTAAATTTTAGTAATTTTGCACTTACAGTGTTTTGCAGATTGCAGAGACTACGCCAACAGCGTTGCCAGCCCAGAAACTCAAAATGTACTAAAAAATCACCGAAAAAGAACTAGTTCTAGTACTAGATTTTCATTCACACTTGCAACTATCATCGAATATCAACATCAGTCTGATCTGAAAGTTGATATTCGATGCCACTATTGAATAGGAATAGGGGAGAGGGGGGAGACAAGGAAAAATATAATGAAAACTTATTATTTTATTATACTGAATATATTGTCGTGAATTGTGAATATCTCGACATTTCTCATTATTCAAAAACACTTCAAAACAATCAATCGTTTTGCATTTTTTATTTTTTTTCATTATATTATTATAACTTTGAGCAACGTAAAAATAATTGACATAGACACATATAATAATATGAACTGCATAGTACGAACATAAGACGTAAGCACAGAATTGGATGTAAGACAGCTCACTGATATTGCACATTGAACTTTTCTTCGGTTCATTTTGGTAATTTCGATATTTCAGTCAAAACGTGGAAAACATGAATTTTGCGATCGGCGTACTAGCGTACTAGACAAAGTGAAGAAGTGCTAGATCTAATGCGAAAGTACTAGGCCTGGCAACGCTGACACATATACTTTGAGAATACCATGGAGCTGCATGGAGTGCCATGGTTGACAACAGTACATGCGACATATTCTTCTCAGATAGGTATAGTAAGGCGAATAGGCGAATAGACATACATATTCTTTCACTCTTCTTTGGGATGTTATATTTCTCCTATATTCGTAATTGGTCAATGCACATAATATAAACATCACATCAAGGTTAAAATTGGGAATTCATATTTCCTTCATCCTGATATTCTACCCCTCAAAACTGATTACCAATTTTACACGAAATTCAAAATTAGTGAATAAGTACTTAGAACGACATCTATCGAAAATTGTCCGAACCTCTCCAAGTGCGAAATGCTTTGTAACGATTTCTCTTTTCCGTTAGATTCCAATATGGTTATGTTTGAAAGACGTGTATAGAGGCCACAAGTTGTACATATACTACTGTTTGAATGTATCGTTACGAAAATATGTTAGCAAGAAAATATTTTCAGAAATGGAAGTTGTTCTTATTTTCAAACGGTTCACGCTGTGCTGTATATGGGCAAGTGTGTGAAATACAAAAAAAATTACTTGTTTCAATGTTTCTCGATCTTCTCAAAAACGTTAACAAACTTTGCAGAACGATATAAACTATAAATACTGGTGATATTTTTTCAAATATATAGGTACCCAACCTCATTAATTCTTGATTTTTCTAGACTATTTAGGGTTCTCCCATTTATTTTGAGCAGCATATTTTGATGGATATCTTCTATTTAGGAATTTCATCGTATTGACATCGATATCCAATAATCGGACTCTCTTTGCTTTCTCTTGTGTGAAGGTCGAATCACGTGTCAACACACCTGTTCGATTTACGATATTAGTAAATCCTAATGATCGAATTAGCACCCTGCTCCTGTACAAACAACCCTGTGGGCCCTTTAAACATTGTTTATAGAACGGATCAGCGTCGTTACACCTGTTCAATATTTTCTTTCAGGGCCCTCTCACTATTCTCAAATCTTCACCTCACTTTTGGTTGGTACCTTACCTACCTATACGAGAATTTGGGTAAACTCACCTGCCGGTCAAGTTTATAATCTTACGACAAATATTAATTATTTTTTAATCGTATGGAGCGCACGAAAGAGAATCCTCTTAATGCTCAAAGAACATCGTGCGTAGGTCCTAAGGAGGATAGGGGGAGGAGGTGGGTATTGGATTTTGTTTATACTTTTTGAGGTTATATAAGTGCTTCTATCAGCAATAACCTTCCTTGGGAAAATCACGTGAGATCAATTGCTAAAAGTGCATCCCAAAAACTTGGTTTTCTGTTTCGGGCCAGGAGCTATTTCACTTCCAGTCAGCTGCTTTTGATCTATGATCTATAAGGCACAGATCCGACCTGCCCTGGAATACTGTTCCCATATTTGGAGTGCAGCACCTAAACATACCCTGAAACTGTTGGATTCTGTGGAAAAAATGGCAATTCGTCTCGTGGGTGATGCCTCGCTCACAAACTCACTCACTTCTCTGAAACACCGTAGAAAAGTTGGCGATCTGGCTCTAGTTTATAGATATTCTCATGAAAGATGCTCTTCTGAAATATCATCAATTGTTCCTCCCTTGGCAGTCCTCGCGAGATGAACCCGTCGAGTTGAGGCTTCGCACCCCTTCGTGGTCACATCGGAGACCTGCAGAACATCTCTTTCCAAAGATTCGTTCATCCAACGAACCGATGAGGCTCTGGAACACATTGCCAAGAGAGGTGTTCCCCGAGGCATATAACCTCCAGAAATTTAAGAAGAACACCAATTCCTACCTTATTTCCCTTGGTTCTCACGATGTTCTCTGAATATTTCAGGATATCCCGACGTATTTTCATACAATTTTTGCACGATTTCAACTCCCCCCCCCCCTTCCCTCGATACAAAATAACCTACTAACTATAAGTAGCATTTCGAGATGATCAAACCTAACTTATACCTTTATCAAGACTCCTTCATCCATAGAACGGCTAGGCTCTGGAATTCATTGCCTGTGGAAGTATTCCCAACAACATAAATATAATCTCCAAAAGTTCAAAAAAAATTCCAATATCTACCTCCTGTCCCTAATATATCCTCCCTAGGAACGCACGATGTTCTTTGAACATTATAGGGATTCCCTTTCGTGCGCTCCAAGCGATAAAAAAAAGGTATGAAACAATGATGGCACAAATGATTCGCCATATATTTTCGTTAGTTCAACGGAGATACGAAAGCAGTCGGTTTAGAAGATTAAAAAAAACCATCGGCTTGAGCGTAGTTCGTGTTGGCCCCAGCATAGCTCCTTGGGGTACCCCCACCATGCCGCTTACTTCGTCACGTACCTGCCAAGAACATAGTTACCTGAGACCACCGTTTACCGACTGTCTACGTCACATTTGAACTCGAGGAATTTCGTGGAATTTCTGCCCTTCCTGTTGAGGAAATTCGAAAATTCCAGCCCCATAGGGCACCCTCAGAAAAACTATATTGGATCGCGTTGTTTTTTGACTGTCAAGTGTGTTCGAAGGAGTGTTGAAGTGCGGTAAGAGAACATAGACTTGGTTACTGTTGAACGGTGGAATTTTTAGGTGTGTAAGAAAGGTTGTGCAAAATAACTGTGCTATGGATTACTTTTTTCTCGAAGTTTGCATCGATATTGGTGAGTTTCTTGATTTGACATCTTCATTGAATCCGAATGAAAGTATTAAGTGCCTTATGGTTGGTGAATGTATAATTGTTATATACAGGGTCCTCCGTATAAATTTTCTGAGGAGGTCATGTTGATAAGTGCTGATGACGAGGAGTCGTAGTCAAAAATATCCAATCACATAAAATTAATTCAAATACATGTATTTATTGTGATTAGGTATATTATTGAATTCTGTAAGTTCCAATATTCGGGAAAACTGGTTTTACTTTACACATAGTTTTGACCTTTTCGACTGTTGAATGAGACATATTTCCATATTATATTTCTTTGTAGAATACAATTTCTTCTTTATTAATTCTCATTTGTATCGAACATTACAGGATATCCCTTTTCGTGGGAACCAGAATATAAAAAAAATACAGAAATTTTAACAGAATATACCTACTAACTGTTAGTTCATTGCGATAATTGCAACCAACCTTTCAAAAATCAAAATGTCAACTAATTTTATGTCAAAAAGCTGTCAGCCGATATTCCGCTGCTATGATAATTATTATCTGCATTTATCAAAACCATATCTACCAAGATTTTTATAGTTACAGTGGTAACAACGATGTGATACTTCCCGGCCTAGTCCGGGGAGTACGTACTTCCCGGACGAAGACTCATATTTTATTTATCGCAGTTTGATAGAAAATATTTTCTACAATTTTCTTATATTCCCGAAACTACCCCACTATAGGCACTGACTGCCACCGCAAAGACACCCTGTAGTGTGAGTCGAGGCGGTGAAACAGCGTGCATTGTTTTTTGAAACTCTTCTTAACGAAATTAATAATGGGTATACATTCCAAACTCAAGAATCTGTGTCATAGGTTCATTCAATATTGAGAAATCGTTTAAACAGGTGTCTGATCACCGCAGGCGTAAATTTAGTGAATACTTGCTGATTATTTTTAGTATGAATGCACATTAAGATATAATTATCATAGTATACAGTGGTTTTCTCAAATGGCCCCCGCCCCTCTTTTATTTTTGAAAGGGTCAACTGAAATCTTGGGATAATGAAATTAATGCTCGAATACTATATTTTGATGTAAGATTGACAGATGATAATTTCAGCATGGCGAATAGGCTTCATCTGGGGAGAAATGAGATGGAAAGGGGGTCTTATGACATCTTTTTGAAGCTTCTGATGGATACTTCACAACCCTAGAATATAAAAATAGTAAATATATAACTCCACCTACTACAAAATGGCGAAATGTTAAATAGTTGCCTGAATACAAACCATATACGTATTAATAAACAATACGGATCATAACGGGTGCCAGGATGAAGCCAAAAATATGAAACAAATGAATATCCATAAGGATTTGGTGGCATGATACGCATGCGCCATGCGCTATGACAATGACGTTTACTAGCCTTTCAATCAAAGCAGTATGTGTCTGATCGTTTCAAAACTTTCCCTTATGGATAGTCATTTGTCTTCAAAAATCGGCTTCATGTTTCGCTATGGAAACAGATAGAGATTATCCGTATTGATTATTAATACGTATATGATACAAACACATCTATATGGATATTGTATTCCAACAAACTGGAGCACCACCACATTACTCCAAACAGTTGGATAAAACATACTTTTGCCAGTCGTTGGATAGGCCGTGGAGGTCCTACGGAATGGCTAGCCCGCTCCCCAGATTTGACACCCTTAGGCGATTTTATGGAGCTATTTGAAGCAAAACTGCACCTGCTGCAATATTAAATATATGACAGACAATGATAGATATTTGTAGAAATATCGACGTAACTCATCATTGACGTAACTGTGGTCGGCGTAAAATATCGGATTGGCTGTTCTTATGTCAAAAAGTTCAAGCAAACCATTTGGAGCATCTTCTGAGATGAAATCAGCTTATTTCCTCAAATTATGAAAACATCGATGTATACAAACAATTATAAAATCTTCCGCAATTTCATATTCTAGGGTTGTAATTTGTAATATATGTGTCAGTTGCTTCAAGAGGATGTTTGACAAGACCTCCCTTTCTATTTAATTTTTTTCCCAGATGGCACCCAGTCACCATCTTGAAATTTCGATATGTCAATTTCACTCCAAAATGTACCCCAGGTTTAAATTTTTTAATTGGACCTGTTCAAAGAATAAAAAAGGAAAGCACTGTATATCGTATTATGGTTGAGTTTCGTTAAATTATAAAGGAAATCACTATTTGTATTTTTGTGGCCATGGCATTCTTATTTTCTTGTGTTGACTGATTCATCAATTATTATAGAATATGCAAAAACATCATCTTCGTTTTTTTATATCTGAGAGTCATAGTTATTTATATTTATACACAAATGCGGTAAATTTATACGTCTAGAATATTATGACCGATTTCAATAAATAATCCATTGGTTCATGGTTTAATTTTACAACATTTTGATTTCAGACGGTGCATAATAATAGAAAGACTTACGTAAGCAAAAGTGTGAAAAAACAATTATTGCTTCACGATTTCTATGAATCGAATAAAAACCTCAAAACACATTACAAGTACCTTCCTGTACCCAAAAATCAGAAGACATATTCCGTTTTGTTAGCTGAACAGATTAGATTTGAGACAATTCAAGGAAATTGAGTTCCAAAGAAACTTTCTTGTACTACATTCGGTTATCAACATCCTCTATAAATCTTTCAGTGATTGTTCAATAATTTTGTAAAATACGATGGATATATTTTTCATTGAAGACAATCAAACTATCCATCATATGATTCATACAAAAAAGTATGTATAACTGCATTGCTGTAATTATGATAATTGTTTAGTTCAAAGCCATTAAAGTAAAAGTCGAGTATATACAGGGTGATTCAAAAGTAAGCGGCATCCTTTCAGAGGCGTATTCCTTGCATGAAAATAAGGCAAAAAGTTCCTATTGATAAGGATCCGAAAATGCTTCCTAAGGGAGCTACGGCCCTTTGAATAGGACACCTCAAAGACGGTTTTTTCTCTATAACTTTAAAATCCTTCACAACAAATTTTTAAAAATTGGTGTACGGCATAAACATTCGATGGTAAATAGGACTCCGTATTCGAAATAATTTCCAAACGAAATCACAGTAACCTGAATATCCGGAGAAGAAGGGATATTTTTACACTTACCCTCTCCCGCATGTGACGCCCCTGAATGAAATTCTGAAATTTCGAATACGGAGTCCTATTTACCATCGAATGTTTATGCCGTACACCAATTTTTAAAAATTTGTTGTGAAGGATTTTAAAGTTATAGAGAAAAAACCGTCTTTGAGGTGTCCTATTCAAAGGGCCGTAGCTCCCTTAGGAAGCATTTTCGGATCCTTATCAATAGGAACTTTTTGCCTTATTTTCAAGCAAGGAATACGCCTCTGAAAGGATGCCGCTTACTTTTGAATCACCCTGTATACAGGCAGCTGAAGTTTCTGATAAGTCAATAAAAAATAGAGGTCGCTGTGGACCGAGTGTTTCGCTGTCGTTGATAAAAAATAATCAATTTCACTCATTACTATACATATACATATAGGTACATATACAGGGTGAGTTGTGTGAATATTATTACTCAAATTCAATCGCCCTGTGTAGACAGGACTGTTTCTATAGTGAAAAATATCATTGATTGTTTTTTATATAAATAAAGTTTTATCTGGAGAAGTGGTGTAACTCTTATTCCTATCCAGAGAAACGTTACATGAGTCATAACTATTGGTACATAGGCAAAAGGGGGATTGTTTGGACCAAAATATGGCGAGAGGACCAAATATGCCTTGATAAAATATTGCAGTGCCAAAAGATACAGGGCGTTAAAGAAGAATATTATTTTTTGCGTTATTTGCCCATAATTTTATACAGGGATTATTATGTTATGTATTATTTTACTCTTCGTCACAGGACGCCCCACGTGAATGATTCCTGGATGATGAAATCGACTTATAACCGTTTTGAAGAGACTATCTAGTGATTTTGAATAGAAAATATGACATCAAGATCATTTCTACGTAATATTGGTACACCTGTTCTGAAACGATATTTTCATCCGTTTTCGAGAAACACTATTGAACAATTCAAAGTCTCGGAAAGGGATTTCAAATTCAGTTAGATAATTATTGCTGGTGAATTACATGTTTTTGTCAGGGAATGAATTTTGGTGCGAGTTTATATAGTCAAAACCTTTTCGATTGAAACGCCCTCTATCTTTCTCCACAGTAATATTTCATTGAGGCATATATTTGGTCCTATCCAAACAACCTGCCCTTAGCCTTTATCCCTATTGTTATGTCTCACCCGGTAGAAAAATATCACGTATGAAATTATGTTATCATTCAATTTTTACTGTGTAGCTGTAGATATACGTTTATTTCTCTTCAGATCGTGTAAGATACCATGAATTAATATTATATTCTTATTACAATGAGGTTCACTGACTCTATTGTATTTGATTTACATAATTTTTACTTCATCGTTCCTAGAAATTATAAAACGAAACTCTCGATAAAACATAAAAAACCGTAGTGTTACGAAATTGTTCAGTATGAGCGGAGAATAAACTGAGAGAATCAGACTTTTCAATTTAAATTTTTTTTGGAAACAAACGAACCATTCTTGAAAATCGTATATCTTCTCAGAAGTTCAAACACGTCCTATACATCAGGGTTAAATGAATTACGTGATAACTTTGTTATTATCGAAAATACGCAACTGTTCAAATTACCAAACTATCATTATTTCAACGCTCTTCAGGATGAAAGATTAAAAAAAAAACTATTGAGCTTCGAGTTTTCGAGTTGGAACGAGAAATTGAATTTTGTTACCTATATATTAACTTATGTCTATTATTTTTTTCTGTTTGAGTTTTGGATGAAAAAGCTCATGAGGAATTACCAATTTTCAACAAACATTGTGGCAGTGAAAATCAAAATCTATACCATAACCTTTCGAAATGAGCAGAACGCTGAAAACAAAAAAATATCATAATCAGGTGCCTTATTCAGAGATGCACAATGGCAACTCTGATAGCACAATTTTCCTCAATGTAACCTCTTGTTTCTCACACAGAATGTCGGAGATGTTAGGGCACCATCCACCCTCTCGATAACGCCACCAACCACTAAACTACCCTCCAAGCCACACAATGTCGGAATCAACCCCCATTTGCCGGTGCAGGGTGCTCTACTTGGGGTCGAGCGTGCCCCAACAGACCAAAGACGGCCTGCAAGGCATCCAGGAGCCGCTGCAAGAGCTCTATCCAGAAGAGGGGGCCATCGGGGCTAAAGGCATCGATTCGTGGTTGAGCGTCTGGTCCAATGGCATCTTGCTCGAGAACGTCGACGAAAATCACAAGAAGATCACCAGGTTTTTTCCCATAGAGAGTTTGCACTACTGCGCAGCCGTAAGGTGAGAGGATAATGTGAATTCCAGTTTTTCTTTTGAAGTTTCATCAGGTGTCCAAACCTCGCCAAACCTTATATACAAGTATTGTTCTCCTATACATTTCAATTCTACCCGTAGAAAAATTATGGTGTATAACTTGCACGGAATGCTAACGCCATCATTCCCTTAAACACTAATAACACTATACTATTTTTCTGCAACCTACACAAAAGTCGTCCATTTTAATACCAGAATTAGCTCTTGAATTGACGTTTCTGTTACTGAAACAAAAATAGGTATGTTGCTAGCCAAAACATTTAGTTCCTATAGGAGCTAACGTTGAACTATAGCTCCTAGGAACTGAGAAATATGTACTAGAGGTCATCAAAAATAAACAATATTGTGATTTGTTTTCGTTTTTGGCAGAATTGGCATTTCATACTTATGCTGGAGGTGGAGATATAAATACACCTTATTATAGTTAAGTATTTTTGTTTTGATCAAGGAAGGCTTCTAGAATCACATACTGGCTTGATCTGTATTTCATTCGTTATTCTCGGGATGGATCAACTTACCCATTTTGAATGATCACGGCCAGCAATAGTTGTCTCAAACAACGATATTGTTTACCTCCAGTTGATTATCAAGCCAAACACAATGGAGTATGGAGACAAATAAATAATCGCTATTATTGTTGATATGCTCACTAACTTAACATTTTCCACGTCTTGTTTCTATACCTGGCACAGGCGCGGTATATTGAAACTAGAATTCGAACATCCTTGAAAATTGAATAAACCTGCTGTTAATGCAGGTAGAATATTCTCACGACACGAATTATTATGGCAAGCGGCATTGGTGGTTACTTCACATCATATTTATTTGAGTTGATTGTTTCGGTTGCAGAAAAAACAGCATGTTTCATTCGGATCAGAAGTGACTTTGTTTACTCGCAAATTTTGCTTCAGCTCGACTTCGATCTGCTATTCTCAAAAACGGTTTGTTTCACGGTATCCCTCTTTTATGTAAAAGTTCATGTTGAAGAATCGTATTCTGGTACAAAAAATTGAATTGAGACGAATCGTAGAACAAAAATATTGAAGCATTTTTTGAGCATCAGTTACGAGTTTCGCATCTCCCTGATGTTATTAAAATTACTATGTGGTACCAAATTTTAGTATTCTAGGATCAATGGGAACAAATATGAATATATATGAACAGAAAATTCAGGGACCTTCCTTCAAAGTTTCCTTAGCCCTCAGGAAGCATTTTCAACACATTTTCGCTATTTTTGTATGCAAGAGAACCTCCCGGAGTATACGAACCTTTTTCTGATATACGAATCATGATAGTGATGGAAATAAAAAATAGAAAATTGTATATTTCCAGAAAAATAACTGGCCAATTTGATCTTGAAAATTGGGGAGCATCAAAAGCACAAGGTATTATATTCATGACGAACACCAACTGGAAGAACGGATGCATTAATTGTAAAATTGCAAGCGGTTGGTAGATTTTTTTCATATAAGGTCTATCCTACAGCCATATAGAATGTATAAAGAATAAATGGCAAATTATTATAATTCATTCTTACGTTCCTTTATCGTAATATCTACCTTGGATTCTTCTTTCATCACGGATGACAAAGTTTGCCTGTTCTAATAAGGGAAGACAGGACCGGGTTTATATCGAAACGAAAAAAGTTCAGTGAACATTGTTGTTTATTATAGATCTCAATGTTGCTTTCAACACAGAAAATAATTTTGTACGTAAAGTTAATGAACGGTGGTCGTCAGTTTTTCGAACATTAATATTACGAATCGATCATTTCTGATGATGGGTTCATACCGCAAGACACTGAAACAATGAACGAGCCAACATTGAACAATGAACGAAAAACATCAGAAGTTAATCATTTTTTTTATTCATGTGATGAAAAAATTCATTGAATCAACGTTTGATGTTTATTGATCTATGTTTTTCATCATTGGAGCAATGAACTTTTCGTCATAGATCTATCAACAACAAACATAAGAATATATTGAATGGTTTTCATTGTTTCAATGAACACTAAACGTTGATTTCATCAACTTCCAAAACAGGCGCCAAATTAATGCTACCTACCCATGGATCAATCACGCCAAACATTATTACTATGAAAAGGTTTCATAATACGCGGTGAATTTTTCATTTGCCGTTTTATTTTATTTCTATTCGTTCAGTTGATAATGAGAAGTTGAAAGGGCTGGGTCGTGTTTTGTGTTTCTGTGGCTCGTAGAATTCCTACCTATTTGTGAAATTGTGCAATTTTGGCAATTTTGCGATTTTTGCAGTTTTCAGGATTTTTTTGCAATTTTCAGAAATTTTTGCAATTTTCAGGAATTTTTGCAATTTTTGCAATTTTCATGCATTTTTGCAATTTTTGCAATTTTCAGGCATTTTTGCGATTTTTGCAATTTTCAGGAATTTTTTGAATTGTTACAATTTTCCGGAATTTTTGCAATTTTCAGAAATTTTTGCAATTTTCAGGAATTTTTGCAATTTTTAGGCATTTTTGCGATTTTTGCAATTCTCGGGAATTTTTCGAAATTTTTACAATTTTCCGGAATTTTTGCAATTTTTGCAATTTTCAGGAATTTTTGCGATTTTTGCTATTTTCAAGAATTTTTGTAATTTTCGCTATTTTCAGGAATTTTTGAAGCAGAAATGCTTCAGAAAATATGCAAATATACTGGGCATTCCAATTAAAAAAATTGATTGAGATGTTACCAGACCTAGTAACCTAACCTAAGATATGTTACCAGATCTAGTAACCTAACCTAAGATATGTTACCAGATCTAGTAACCCAACCTAAGATATGTTACCAGATCTGGTAACCTAACCTAAGATATGTTACTAGATCTAGTAACCTAACCTAAGATATGTTACCAGATCTAGTAACCTAACCTAAAATATGTTACCAGATCTGGTAACCCAACCTAAGATATGTTACCAGTTCTAGTAACCCAACCTAAGATATGTTACCAGATCTAGTAACCTAACCAAAGATATGTTACCAGATCTAGTAACCTAACCTAAGATATGTTACCAGATCTAGTAACCCAACCTAAGATATGTTACTAGATCTAGTAACCTAACCTAAGATATGTTACCAGATCTAGTAACCTAAGTATTGTAGTTGGGCGGGATGGTCTTGCGAGGAGAATTCTCAACAGATTGGCCTTGAAGGAATATGGACGACCTCGATGTGTGGGGATTACGTCAATCATGTTGTTAGCTAGTAGCTACTCAGAGAGATAGAGTGAGAGAGTGGTAGCCTTGAGTTTTGCGGAAATTTTTGCAATTTTCAGAAATTTTCTCAATTTTCAGAATTTTTTGCGATTTTTGCAGTTTTCAGGATTTTTTGCAATTTTTGCAATATTCAGAAATTTTTGCAATTTTCAGGAATTTTTGCAATTTTTGCAATTTTCAGGCATTTTTGCAATTTTCAGGAATTTCTTGAATTGTTACAATTTTCCGGAATTTTTGCAATTTTCAGAAATTTTTGGAATTTTCAGGAATTCTTGCAATTTTTAGGCATTTTTGCAATTTTTGCAATTCTCAGGAATTTTTCGAAATTTTTACAATTTTCCGGAATTTTTGCATTTTTCGCAACTTTCAGGAATTTTTGCGATTCTTGGTATTTTCAGGAATTTTTGAAGCAGAAATGCTTCAGAAAATATGCATTCCAATTGAAAAAATTGATTGAGATGTTACCAGATCTAGTAACCTAACCTAAGATATGTTACCAGATCTAGTAACCTAACCTAAGATATGTTACTAGATCTAGTAACCTAACCTAAGATATGTTACCAGATCTAGTAACCTAACCTAAGATATGTTACCAGATCTAGTAACCTAACCTATGATATGTTACCAGATCTAGTAACCTAAGTATTGTAGTTGGGCGGGATGGTCTTGCGAGGAGAATTCTCAACAGATTGGCCTTGAAGGAATATGGACGACCTCGATGTGTGGGGATTACGTCAATCATGTGTTAGCTACTCAGAGAGATAGAGTGAGAGAGTGATAGCCTTGAGTTTTGCGGAAATTTTCTCAATTTTCAGAATTTTTTGCGATTTTTGCAATTTTCAGGAATTTAGGAATTTTAAGGCATTTTGCGATTTTTGCAGTTTTCAGGATTTTTTGCAATTTTTGCAATTTTCAGAAATTTTTGCAATTTTCAGGAATTTTTGCAATTTCTGCAATTTTCAGTCATTTTTGCGATTTTTGCAATTTTCAGGATTTTTTTGAATTGTTACAATTTTCCGGAATTTTTGCAATTTTCAGAAATTTTTGCAATTTTTAGGCATTCTTGCGATTTTTGCAATTCTCAGGAATTTTTCGACATTTTTACAATTTTCAGGAATTTTTGCGATTTTTGCTATTTTCAGAAATTTTTGAAGCAGAAATGCTTCAGAAAATATGCAAATATACTGGGCATTCCAATTAAAAAAAATGATTGAGATGTTACCAGATCTAGTAACCTTACCTTAGATATGTTACCAGATCTAGTAACCCAACCTAAGATATGTTACCAGATCTAGTAACCCAACCTAAGATATGTTACCAGATCTAGTAACCTAACCTAAGATATGTTACCAGATCTAGTAACCTAACCTAAGATATGTTACCAGATCTAGTAACCTAACCTAAGATATGTTACCAGATCTGGTAACCCAACCTAAGATATGTTACCAGATCTAGTAACCCAACCTAAGATATGTTACCAGATCTAGTAACCCAACCTAAGATATGTTACCAGATCTAGTAACCTAACCTAAGATATGTTACTAGATCTAGTAACCTAACCTAAGATATGTTACTAGATCTAGTAACCTAACCTAAGATATGTTACCAGATCTAGTAACCCAACCTAAGATATGTTACCAGATCTAGTAACCTAACCTAAGATATGGTACCAGATCTAGTAACCCAACCTAAGATATGTTACCAGATCTAGTAACCTAACCTAAGATATGTTACTAGATCTAGTAACCTAACCTAAGATATGTTACTAGATCTAGTAACCTAACCTAAGATATGTTACCAGTTCTAGTAACCCAACCTTAGATATGTTACCAGATCTAGTAACCTAACCAAAGATATGTTACCAGATCTAGTAACCTAACCTAAGATATGTTACCAGATCTAGTAACCCAACCTAAGATATGTTACTAGATCTAGTAACCTAACCTAAGATATGTTACCAGATCTAGTAACCTAAGTATTGTAGTTGGGCGGGATGGTCTTGCGAGGAGAATTCTCAACAGATTGGCCTTGAAGGAATATGGACGACCTCGATGTGTGGGGATTACGTCAATCATGTTGTTAGCTACTCAGAGAGATAGAGTGAGAGAGTGGTAGCCTTGAGTTTTGCGGAAATTTTCTCAATTTTCAGAATTTCTTGCGATTTTTGCAATTTTCAGGAATTTAGGAATTTTAAGGCATTTTTGCGATTTTTGCAGTTTTCAGGATTTTTTGCAATTTTTGCAATTTTCAGAAATTTTTGCAATTTTCAGGAATTTTTGCAATTTTTGCAATTTTCATTTTTGCGATTTTTGCAATTTCCAGGATTTTTTTGAATTGTTACAATTTTCCGGAATTTTTGCAATTTTCAGAAATTTTTGCAATTTTCAGGAATTTTTGCAATTTTTAGGCATTCTTGCGATTTTTGCAATTCTCAGGAATTTTTCGACATTTTTACAATTTTCAGGAATTTTTGCGATTTTTGCTATTTTCAGGAATTTTTGAAGCAGAAATGCTTCAGAAAATATGCAAATATACTGGGCATTCCAATTAAAAAAATTGATTGAGATGTTACCAGATCTAGTAACCTAACCTAAGATATGTTACCAGATCTAGTAACCCAACCTAAGATATGTTACCAGATCTAGTAACCTAACCTAAGATATGTTACCAGATCTAGTAACCTAACCTAAGATATGTTACCAGATCTAGTAACCTAACCTAAGATATGTTACCAGATCTGGTAACCCAACCTAAGATATGTTACCAGATCTAGTAACCCAACCTAAGATATGTTACCAGATCTAGTAACCCAACCTAAGATATGTTACCAGATCTAGCAACCTAACCAAAGATATGTTACCAGATCTAGTAACCTAACCTAAGATATGTTACTAGATCTAGTAACCTAACCTAAGATATGTTACTAGATCTAGTAACCTAACCTAAGATATGTTACCAGATCTAGTATCCTAACCTAAGATATGTTACCAGATCTAGTAACCTAAGTATTGTAGTTGGGCGGGATGGTCTTGCGAGGAGAATTCTCAACAGATTGGCCTTGAAGGAATATGGACGACCTCGATGTGTGGGGATTACGTCAATCATGTGTTAGCTACTCAGAGAGATAGAGTGAGAGAGTGATAGCCTTGAGTTTTGCGGAAATTATTGCAATTTTCAGAAATTTTCTCAATTTTCAGAAATTTTCTCAATTTTCAGAATTTTTTGCGATTTTTGCTATTTCTGCAATTTTCAAAATAACGATTAGGATATATTTACTCAGCAAACATTGAACTACCGGGATAATCAGATGCCTATCGAATATTCATTTCCTAAGATAATGTGTGCAAAAACCTGTTGCAATGTGTGGAATCTTTCAGAAGGCCGTAGTTCCACCTCACCATGGAATGACGACATAATGCAGAACCGCATTCGCCCAATCTATCGATTGTACATATCGTCCTTGAATTCACAAATGGGCGTATATGGATTTGAAATCGCAACTTTCGAGGAAATACATTTGGGTAAATGCCTATTTGCTTCAGAATTTCTAACCATTTTCCAATTTACGCCTAAACAACATCATATTCTATCTGAATATAAGAAGTTGCACCATCACCAGTTGCAGCCAATAATAATCAATTTCAGCGATGTTTAAATCCGAAAAATTCACTCATTTCCCGATATACGCCACTTTTTTAATTCTTTGACGATATATATATTTTCTTCAGTTCGCTCACAATTTTGTTGAATTCACGGAAAAAATATTATTCAAACATATTGTTGAAAAAATATGTTGGATAATCATACAAATGTTTGGATAGGTAGATATCATTTGTGTTGTCACCTGTTTGATGATATATTTTGCTCATCTTTATAGGGTGGCATTGAAATAAGTGCTAATATTCCAAACCTTAAGAAAGTTCGACGTATTGGGATCGTAATAAATTTTGGGGTGATACCCCTTTTTCCACCTAAAGTTCTAATTAGCAGTAGCAATTCTGACGACACCTGTGTTCAATTTTTCGTGCACTTGATTTTTTCCCTTTTTTTGTTCAATTTTGGGGATGCAATTTCTCGTTAATAAAAAGAATTGGAAAAAATCTCATATCATGGGAATATTCGTTGGACTGTATCATATCATATCGATGTGCTGAATATATGCACTTTAAAATGATAAACACCTTGTATATAAATATTATATACATACATGAGTACCTTTTTTTCAAAAATAAAGTGATGGCAGGTAATCCGGGAAAGTTTGTAGCAGAGATCGGTTGAAATTTGACAGTTTTTGGCGGATTGTTGGAAGAGGTACCTCATCTAAGCCTTTTGGAATTCTTTGCAATTAAGCCATTCGAGATTGGAAGTGTAACACTAGAGAGGTTGCGACAGAGAATTGTCAAAGAAATTAATAACATCTGATGTCCTAAATCAGGCACGAATGAATAATCCTAGAAATATCACGCAGTTTCTTGAAATACGGTCCTGTGGAGTATCGGATTCTACTTTTACCCAACCGACATTAGCTAGAAATAATTGTACAGAAGAATGTCTGATATATTAGGCATCTCAGTCGGTGGATGCTGGAAGAACTTGTTCTGGTTGTTGATTATGCAACCTCTTCGATCATGATGTCTACAAACTAACTTTTCATTAGCGATTTCACGTTCTCGAGAAAACCAATAATTGCATCTGAAAATATTACGAAATCGTACACTGCACATACTTTACTGCATGCGACTTGGACCTATAATGTTATGTGAGACCCGAGTTATGTATGAACTTTCCACTCAGGTTCCAATAAAAATAATAATTATTATGCACGACCAGGCGTAAAGTAGCACTTTATCGCACGGATTTACGGGCTTAAAGTAGCACTAGCTTTGGCGCCCTAGGGCGATAAAGAAGTAGTCCGGCGTGTAGACTATACCATTTGATGTTTCTTCGCCAGTGGAGTACATAATTTGGCCAAAAGAATTCAAAATAGGTTTAAATTACAAGGAAAATATGTTCTCAAAAAGATAGCGATATAGCAGGTAATCTAGAAAAGCTTTTGTAGCAGAGATCGGCTGAGATTTGACAGTTATTAGCACTGAATTGGTGGAAGAGACTGCAACAAAATAGCTACGTCCAAGTTCTTCAATCTCCATCTACACCGGAATTTGAACAAAAAACATAAAATGAGTGTATTGATTGGTCTTTTTGAATTTCGAAGTGTTTAAATTCGAAGGACAAAGTCTGAATTCGGAGAAATGATGGCTGAATACTAGGAAAATGTCTAATTTCAAGGAGAGATCTAGCTTTGAGAAGTCGCACTTATCCCTAAACAACTTCGTATCATCGTATTAACCATTCATTCCAGATACGTCCTGGTACCGGAAAAAAACACCTTACATAGCCCTACCCCCCGCTTCCTCCCCCTCGACTCGCCGTTCGCGCGCACGCCCAACCCCGCCCACCCGCCCCTCTTCGCCGCCATCTTGCGGCGCACGTCCGGCATCAAGGTGCTCGAGTGCCACGCCTTCATCTGCAAGCGGGAGGTGGCTGCCAACGCCCTCGTCAGGTGCTGTTTCCACGCCTACGCTGACTCCTCCTACGCCAAACAGGTGGATACGGCGGGGAGTATCTACGGGACGTTGGCTTCGGAGCGGTTGTCGAGCAAAGATAAGGTTGGTAGGGGGGGAAATATGGGGAGATCGGTGTCGGATTGTGGCTACATGTTATTATTATTAGGCATTCGCAGTCAAAGGAACCTCCTTTTCAGAATTTAGTGGGGGAAGTCTGATTTCTGGAAAAGTTTTGATTCCGAGAACAATTTGAATTGACCATTCAACTCATGTATACAAAATTCCATAAGCTGCTGTGATTTTGTCATTGCCATTATGATAACGGAAAAACCTTTGCCCTAAATTTTCCAGCGACAAAACGGAACCTAGCTCTTGAAAATATGACAACTGCAATTGTGAACGAATCTTTGATGGTGTTTATGTCAATCTTTGTCAATCAAAATATCTAATCTGTAGAATTGTAGCGAATCCATAAAAAATAATGTGATTTACGCATTCATCAAATTTTCTTACCGAATTACACTCAAGCATATTTTTTTGGGTCGAAGTAAACTTCATATTTGCCTTTAGGAAATTGACAGGAAAATTACTCCTCTCACGGACTCGTAACTCTTTTGAAGACAATTGTTTTAGTTTAATTCCAAGGCAACAAAATAAATTCTCGTTGAAATGTCAAGTTCACTTCGACAAAAAAGCCCTCGTGCAGGAAATTCTAAGTGAAAAAAATCAAGACGGAATTTAAGAGTCGGAATTCAAGGAGGAATTGATCAATTCAGAGATCAATAGTCGAAATTCGAAGAAATGCATGGGCCAGATTCAATGAAAAGGTCCAAATTCAAGTTGAAATGATTGAATCCAGAGAAGGAAGTCTGAATTCGAAGGATAAGGTCCGAATTCAATAATGAAATCTGAATTGGAAGAGAAATGTTGCTAAATATAAAGAAATTATCAGAAACTAAAAAGATATCAGACTTTGAGATAGAAGTCTGATTTCAAAGAAAAAAATTCGATTCTATTGAAGAGAGCCTGAATCCTAGAGAATCAATCAATCAATCAAAGATGAATGATGAGTTCAGACTTTACTCTTCTCGAATTGAAGAAAATAACGGAATGAGAATGAAAAAATTCAAATTAGGAAAACTTCAAGGAAACATTCACTTATCTAAAGCTTTTGATATTTCTCGCAAAGTTTTCGTAAATGCAGATATTACTATTATTCCAAATATAAAATTACCAATTTACAAAAACAAATCTGGATTAGAAAAAATCGTCTGAATTGGAGAAATAGTATTTGAATTGTGAGTAAAGTAGAAAGTTAAATCCCAAGGAACCAATATCCCGATGGAAAATATTCGAAATTGAAGAAAAAGCCTGAATTCAAGGAAAATGTCTGAGAATGGTTCAGAAATATGTAGTCATAATCCAACACCAATCATTCAGTAGACCAATTTGCAAAACTCCTTGGTAATCCGTTATTTCACAAACAATCCGACACCAAACAAAATCAAACACCTTCATTCATTCAAACAAAATTCGAATCAACCCCTCCTCCACTCCATAGATAGACGACTGGAAGATGAGCAGATCCCAATTGGGCTCGACGACGACCTTGAACACCATCGGTAACCACGCCCCCAAAGATGACGTCAGCATCTACAACGGCGACGAGAACCACAAAGTGTGGGCGGGCTCCCAAGACAACCTCGACGGCATCTATGACGTCTACTCCACCTCCACCATTTCCCGGCCGAACAGACCGCGACAGATAGCCCAACCGGTCACAGTACCCCCACCGCCCGTCAAAGACAAGAAGAAAAAGAATAAAGGGGGCAGGTCCTTGGGCGGGTCGCGCGAAGAATTGTACCACCCCACCGCCAATGGAAAGGCTGGTAGCGTGTCGGGCTCGATGCAGAAGCAGCGAGGACAGCACTTTAACGGGCACGCCTCGCATGTAGGCGGACACCTTCCGTATATGGGCGGGGCGGGGTCGAATATGGGAGGGCATATGGCGCATATGGGCGGACCGGGATCGAATATGGGCGTGGCCGGTTCGCAGCCCATCTATATCATGGCGCCGCATCCCGGAACGTTGCCGAATCCCAAGTTTTTCAAACAACATGGTAAGACCATTGCCATTCCATTGTTTTTATTACCACCCTCTTATTAGCTTCACCTGTACATATGTATGTAACCCACTTCTTCCGACTCGATTTTGACTCACTTCGAACGGACCGATTGATTTGAAACTTAGGTAGGTGAACATAATGGCGTCTCCAAAATGGCGGACGATTTTTGTATTTATGTTCCGATTCTATTCAAAGTTGGTATCTGAGGGTCTTCGAGTTCGGAGATAATGATTCTTCCGTGAAATTAGGAAATTCAAGATGGAGGACTGATTATGGTGGACGAGTTTTGTAATTATTATGATCTGAATTTGTACCTGGGGATTTTCGAGGTGGGAGATTAGGATTCTTTCGTAAAAATTTGAAAATTCAAGATAGTTGATCCAATATGGCGGAATTGTTTCGTAATTATTATTCGATTCTATTCGAAATGGGTATCTGGTGGTTTTTGGTGTTGGAGATTATGATTCTCTCGTCAAAATTAGGGAATTCAAGATGGCGAATTCAAAATAGCAGAAGAGTTTTGTAATTAGGTTCTATTTCTATTCAAAATTGGTATCTGGTGGTTTTCGGAGTCGGAGATTATGATTCTTCCATCCAAATATGGAAATTGTAGGAAGCGGAACCAATATGACGGACGAGTTTTGTATTTATGATCCGATCTCATTCAGAATTGGTATATGTCGGTTTTCGGGGTCGGATATTATGATTATTTGTCAGAATTTGGAAATTCGAGATGACAAAACCAATATGGCAGACGACTTTTGTAATAATTATGATCCGATTCTATTCAAAATTGTTAACTGGGAAATTCAAGATGGAGCATTCAATATGGCGGACGAGTTTTGTAATTATAATCCGATTCTTTTGAAAGTTATTGAATATTGGTTTTTGGGGTCGGACATCATGATTCTTCCTTCATCTGGAGATTATGATTCATTCGTAAAAATTAGGAAATTCAAGATGCTGGATCCAATATGGCAATATTACGAACAAAAAATAATTCAAAAGGGTACCGTTTCCCGTCAAGCTCAGCTTTGCTATAAACAAAGCACAAGGGCAGACATTACTGGTAGCAGGGGTGCACTTAGGAAAAGCGATGCTTTTTTCACGGTCAACTATGTAGCCTGTTCGCGTTTATCTAATGCTCAAAATTTAGACCAGACCGGACGGAAAACTTACAATATAGTATACAAAAATATTCTTATAGGTGGCAGAACAAAATAACATCAAATATAGAGAAATTCTAAACAGTTGAAGGTATAGTCGATCGTCTATATTTATTCAAGGGTTTCAATAATTAAAGTGTGTTGATAAAAACACAACATAGAATGTATAGGAGGTGCTGATTTTATCTTTGTTGTTTCATCTACACACTTATTATTTTATTTCCCATCCCTTTTCAGGTTGACTATCTATTAAAAGGTGTTCCTTTAGTTTTAGAACTTACTATTCATTTTCTCAATCGAACCTGCCAACTGAGACATTCATTTAGGATTTCCGTGAATCATGTCGAAATTTCCAGGAAACACGTACTCCCACCGACCGAGAGGCAAGGTCCTCATCCCCGCCAGGCCGATACCCCCTCCCCTAGTCCCAGTGGCGCCCGTCATCATCCCCACCACCATGCAAAAGACCAAGAAGAAGCACAAACACATGATGGAGGAGCCCATCTACGTCCCTGGCAACAGAGCTATGAGCCCCCATCAGATGGCCCTCAATTTCGATCCCTACGTGATGCACCAGTCCTACGCCACCATGGAGTCCCAGGGGAAACAGAAGAAGATCAAAGACAAGGAGAGACAGCAGGCGGAGAAGGGCAAGTTGAACAAGAAATTGGCGCAGAGCATGAACGGGCTGGACGATCCGAATTTGACCAACGACGAGTCGCCCTTCAATACGGGGATTTACAAGAAGAAGGGACATTTGAACGAGAGGGCGTTTTCGTACTCTATCAGGCAGGAGCACAGGAGCAGGAGTTATGGGAGTCTGGCGAATTTGAAGTTTGCTACTCCTATACCCAATGGAGATGTAAGTACTATTACTTTAATTATTATCATTATAATTGTTTTTTTTTCATTGACTTAGCCGTTTTTTGACTCAACACACCCTTATCAACATAAAATTGCAGAATATAAGTATGATATACAGGCTAGTGAATGTCGTTCTTTCACCAGAAGATTTCAAGAACTCAATATCATAAATCAAATTGCAGTCAACAACGGATACAACGTTAATTTCATAGACAGTATTCTTTATGAAAAACTTCGTGATAAAGTAATTCAACAAGGTTATTCTACAATCAAAATCGATAATCAAAGTTATAGAGCTTTAACCTATTTCGGGTCATCAACTGAAAAATTAGCTTCATTAATTTTTACATAAACATCAGGACTTAAAAGTTACCTACCTATAGGACAAATAACACGTTGGGAAGGTTTGTAAAAAATAATAAAGACAAAATCAGGGGCATGCAAACTTAACTGTGGAAATATACGGGAACCATAGGTATATTAGAAGAAAACCTTACTTTTGATGATAATTTCGAAATTCTACTCGTAGAAAATGAAGGAATAAAACTGAATCATTTGGAATCATTACGCAAAAATTATTCACATCTGTTGAATTCATTTTCTTAGTTAGGTAGGTAATATTATGTATTAGCTATCAACCCTTTCAAGTTGATCCGGAACATCGTATTTTAATGTAGATATTGTGCCTATTTTCTGAAAATGAGGATTTATCGAACCTTTCCACAGGTAATTCTAATATTTCAGGTTGGGAAAGTACCTAGGTGAAAGTTGAAGACAGTCTCTAACTGGTCTGGATTTTATCTTCATCTTGTTATTTGTTTCATGATGAATCCACATGTTTTAGACTATCAGATTCAGGATGGTTTTCTTAGAATATCCTCTCTAGATGTTCTATACAGAACTTAAGTTGCTATTACTTGAATTTCGGTTTGGACTACCGTATAGTAAACAATTGCCCTAGAGTGCTCACAAGCAGAATATACCTATACAGTTCTGAATTGACATTCCCCATATTAGTCATATTATTGTAATATTAAAAGAGTTTTTCACCAGTGTGTCGGAGCATTTCAGTTTCCTATCCTACAGTCAGATGTTCATTTTCGAAATCACGCATTTTCATAATTCCATAGATATTATTGCTATGCGTCATATTGGTAGTTGGTAATTCAATTGTTTTAAACTGCTTCACCATCATGAAATTGCTATACCGATATGGCTGAGGTTAATTCAAGGTTATTGCAACTTTCCACGGCGGAGAGTGATAATTTTTTTTATCAATACATACGACAGATATAGGTACCTACATTTTTTTGCATAACATTGAATGAAATTATGATTGCACCAATAACATTTCCTTTACTGCGGTGTTTTCTACAAGGTGTCAACAGTTAAATTTTTTCGAAAGTATAGATAGTTTATGATTTATCAATTTTTTATATGCATGAATTTGAATTCTTTTATTTTTAATTTTCGTCACTAGTGACGTAGTCACGTTCGAATCAGTCCATATTGTCTTTAAAATCATCTTCATACAGTTGATGGATATACCATGAAGTTAATGACATCTTCAGTAAAGTTCACTCATGCTCAACCAAGAATTTAATATTTCAGACACCTAATTTAGAAAAATTTCCTAGGTCATGGAGAAAAACTAAAGGTCAGATCTTTCGAAAAAGTATTGATAAAATTCATCATTGTGACACAGTCCCATATCATAAGGCTATATGCTATAAATTTCTTATAATATTTCGGAATATCTTTTTAGATATTGCGACTTGAAACAATTACCTACGTTGTGTAGGTATCTGAGATATGATTCAAATTTTGATGATTATTTAGTAGAAAAAAACAATAGTTATCATCAAATATACTGAAAATAACGAAACTAGTATTTGAGGTAAAAGGAGGCACAGTGTTGCCCAAATAATTCGTGTGGACTCCTGGGAAAATACCTTTAAAAATTCGGTTCATGCACCCGGACTAATAACTATTCCAATCACCCGCTGCTTCAATCACTCATTCCTTATTGTGGTAGGAGATAGTCAGGTGTAACTCTGAATATTTCTATTTCTGTTTAGAAAAAAACATTATTTGAATTCGACCAAGAGTCGATACGAATCGTTTGGGTAGCACTGTACGTCAAAAAGATGTTTCGATTATTTTTACAGGTGGAAGATAGGGAGGATATAAAAAAAGAAAGGGAAATAATGCAGATGGTTCAAGATTTGGACCTTTCTAGCGACGAAGTCGACAGACCAGAAATTCCGCATCATGGCATGTATGGGGTAAGGGGTGGTATACCCCCAGGACCGGTCATAGTGACTGCCTCCCAGATGAACGGACGAGGACACAGAAGATAGAGTATGTTTCACACACACAACAATGTTTTTGAATCGACCTGTTCAGTGAACTAGATCTCATATAATGGGGTTCTACACACTAGTCGAATTTACACCACAAACCTATTCCATATTGATTATTCCCTGTATAAATAGTATTTGATGTAATCATTCGATGACGACATAAACCGCCATTTGAATTTTGACTTTCGCATAAAAAGTATGGGAACATATATTTCGACGCTGCCAGATTTATAACTAGTACTTACCTTGTGAGATTCAATATGACCAATGGCAACAGTATTATTCACATTCACGGAAGACAATACTTCGACCTTGTTCCTAATAATCACTTATTGAATGCTTATTTATACTTACAAGATGCTTCAGCAATAATAAAAATATACTAGAACATCTTAACGTCATCATTATCTTCAGATCCAGCAAATTTTCAAAGATATTCCTCTTATTATCTAATTTTTCATCTGTGTGTTGGGTTCTCTGTTATCTGCAGTTAGTATTCAGTCCAGAAAATTCACTAGAGTCTAGTCTTGCACTTGTCTTACGCGTTTTGCCGCGTTTCTCTTACTACGAAATATCGTAAATTTCAATAATTATGTAGTACTTCGACATAATGGAATGCAATTTTTCACTGAAACAGGCTCATCAAGAGATCTGAGATAAACAGAGTTGCCCACATTTGTCAGCAGGATCGAGACAGTAATGTTTCGGCTCACCAGGCCCCATCAGTCGCCCTCTGTCTGCAGACAAATAGGACCGCTCGGAGTCACCGGATATATAGTACTGTTATCGCCATCTAGTGGCATAGTTCTAAGATCGGATCACGCGATCGCGCCATACACTATATGATGCTGATATCTATAGTCTACTCTACACGTTATGCATTGGTATCACAAGTGAACCTGTTTCTCTTTTGGATTGCACCAAAGGAAATCTCAATCCACAGATTTTTGAGCATTGAAAAACCTCAAGTTTGGTAGTTTCTGATACACAGATAAAGACTGTGATGACTTAATCTGACTCGTAATTTTTCATTATTCAACAATGGGTATTGTATGGAAAATGAGCAGTGTTCTGAATAAATGACTGAACGATTCTTTCTCTTTGAATGTGCTGATTTTCATGGACCTGTGAACATCCCATTATAACAATTTTATCGCTGGTGTATCAAGCGTGAATCCTAAGAAATTCTAGCTTGCAAGAACCCAATCTGTACTAAGATAAAGATAAACCAAAATTGGCACATGCCTTTGATTTATCATAATATCATGGAGCTTCTACATGTTTGCTGGTCATAAAAGTTGGTTCAATTATTGGGAGATGATGGAACAATTTTTGATATTTAATATTATTATTATTCTCAATATATTAAAATAATGTTTATTTCCAGATACGATTATAATTTCGTTTTCATTTTTTCAGATTCAATTTCTACCTAGTATAGTGTCTGAATGCCATAAAGTTCGAGGTAGCTGCAGATAACATTTTTCATAGTTTTTCTACAATGAATCCAAATGTTACACAAGTTCTATAGTAGTTTTTAAGTATGAGAAAATTGAATAAATGGATTTTCAAAATAATATAGTGCACCTAATAGATAGGTATTTATCTCTATGGTTTAGCCAATGAATAACATTAGATACCATATCATCTATTTATGTGAAATTATTAACTTTTATTGTTTAGTTTATATTTTCAACTAGCGTTGCATGCCTATGTATATTGATCAAATTATTTACATACGTAATTATTTTTGTGTTTCAAACACTGATATATAGAGTGATGGTTAGATGAAGGTACCGCATTGTTTAATGTTTTTTTTTACCGTTATACTTTCACAAAAATAACCTTGTATATCAGATAATCATAATATAGACATAATGATAGATATAATGTTTTGGAAATGAATCAATGATCATATTCAAGAGATTTATATTCGAATAGAGTACTCATATTAGTTAATCTCACTCTTGAGAGGTATATAGATATTTTAATTGGTTTATTGAAATCGTTTTTTATATTATAGGTATGGCAATTGCTCAAATAATATTTCATTCTAATGAAAAAATTGTACATAAAGCAAAACTTCAGAAAGGAACTATTTTGGAAATAAAATAGATTGAAGGTAGGTACTCGAATAACTTGGGGATTTTTTATTGTAAGCAATCATCACATCTATAGTTTAAGTATGCAAAAAAAGTTTATTGTACATATTGGTGGCTATTGCCGACCTTACAAATTTTGATAAAATGACATGGAAAAGTATGTAAATCAGCATTTTCATTGTAATTCCAAGCTAAGTGCCATTGGACATTTTCAAAGTACGGCATTTTTATCTTTTTGGTAGGACTCCTCAAATAGATATTTTGAATAGGGAGGTTGTTGTTTCGAATGAATTTTTGTAAATAAAAAAATAATCAATTGAATAAATATTCATCATCACATGCTGATTATTTTATTTGAATCCTTCAAGATTTTCATGATGAACAAAGTGGAGATTCTTGGGTTGCTCTATTTTTTTCAATTCGGCAAAAATTGGATATTGTATCATCAAAAGAAATTCCAAATTTGCAAGCTCTATATATAGAAGAATATGGTAAATTGTTAGAAAAAAACTTCGTTACTAGAGCTTTCTAAACGCTCTAAAAAGAAGAAAATAAAATGTTCCTTGCTTTTAATCATCAACTTATGACCTCATTATACACAATTCATATGATCATGAAAAAGCTTGTCGAGATGATCAATATTCAATGAAACTGAAATTTAAAAATGTAATTTCACATAATTAAATTAGTACTAGTTTATTTACAGAAGTGAATTGCTATATAAGTTGAATTTTCAAAATTTCAATTCAAATAAATATTGATCATTGCGACGAGCTTTTATGACCATATGAATTGTGTATAAGTTGATAGTTAATATAGCAAACGCAAATATCGCTTGTCAAACATAGTGTCACACATTTGAACCTAATAAAACAATCTACCTACAATTCCTTCTTTTTTGAGCGTTTAAATATGAGCTTTTTTATAGTTTTTTTTTTTACTTTCAATTTATTTTTTACTTTTAATATAGTTATCGTTGGTAAGGTTTCTCAGTATGGATTTGGTATGGAGACCATCTCGCCAAATCACACAAGTTAAAGTTAATAAATCGATGTTACAGGCTTGAAAATCGATATTTTTAAACCTGCATTTTTATTCTCAGCGAACAATTTCATTTTATAGGAAAGCACAAAATCTAGTATTTTCTGAACTGTGACAAGATACTTCAATAGTGCGCCATATTGGATTCAGAGTGATTTCACATTTTTTTCAATAATTATACTCGGCAAGCCCATTCATTTGATGATACCCATATTATATTATTATTAATCAGAGCCTTTTTTCCACGAAGAACAGGGCAAATGTCAACAAATTTGAAATATTCGAATATTCATGGAGATATTAGAGAATATTACACATTTTAAATTTGTTTGTTGTGTTGTCTATGCGCATGCAGATGTATTCTTCAGAATTAATTTATAACTGCTTCCAATAGAGGTCGCTGAAAGCTCAAAAACGCAACAAAAACGTTGAATGAAAGGATAATATACTGTTGTTTGTTTAATCTATGGTGCCTATATCTATGGGAAACTCAATCGTAACTATCCCATCAAGAAGAAAATTGCGTTACAAAATCAAAATGGTAGAGACGTGAGAAATCGAATTTTCTTGGGAACTTCATAGACTTAGTTCGTTTAAGGAAAAAAGTGGCGTTTTTCAATTCAGCATTAAAAATTACTATAATATTCACAAACCCCACTTCGTCATAGAGTACATTTTTAGTATATCTTTCGCTCCAGCAAATTTCAGGATCCTTACCCAACGATTATGTAAGATACAAGGGTGTTTCCATTAGAAGTGAGACACACTGTATAAATTTTTATGAGAGCGTCATCATAGACTCGGTTAGAATTGGAAAATTGACATTCGATATGTTTTCGAGATTATAAAATTTCTAAAAATTCCACGCACATCCTTATTCTGAACCGGACAACATGAATTTGTTACTAGATTCCACCTACAACTCTTGTATTCATCATCAGAAATCCGAATAATCAGCGAAAAAGCAGCTCAACTTCTCGACCAAAAAAGTTTTTACCCTGCCAATCGGTTTTTAATGTCTAACAACTACCAGATTGGATTATGAAATCAATGTTTTTTCTGATCTAGACATAATTCATACACTCTAGTACGAAATTGTTCAATACGAATCATTTATCTAATCCTAAGGTCTTCATTTCGCTATATAAATCTAGGAAATCGCCTCAAACTCCATCGCAACTTCTCAACGAAGGAAATTGCATATACAGGGTGTTTCAAAAAAAGCTGACTCCCTTACTAGGGTAGGTAGAACACTGCAAAATAAGTTGGGTTTACTCAGTAAAAAAATTTTGTAACGGCATCCGTTATCAAGATACAAGGTGTTGAAAAAATGATTTTTTACACATTTTTCAAGATTATGTCGAAACTACTAGCAACATTGTAATGAAATTTTGTATGGATGTTTCTTGGAATCTGACACATCGCATGCCGATGTTTCTATATCTGACTTTCATAGAGGGCGCTAGTTACACGGTTCGTACCGAGTAGTTTTGAACATAACTTTTTTGAGGTTAGATTTTTCAATCCAAATTTGATGTGAACTTGAACATCATTCAATTTCACACCAAAAAGGTACTCTTGGTAAAACTCGATACTGTGTTCCGTTTTCGAAATATTTCGATTTGAAAATGATCAAGTGATAACTGTTGCTGGTATAAAGCTATGTAATAGAGCGAGTATTATGAAAAATTATCACCCATTTATTGAAAACCGAAAACAGCAATACATTTCTGATGCTAAACTTATTGATATAACAATGAATCACAAGAATAACATCGAAACAGATTTGACTGAGAACATGGATTACACAGTTTTGTTGTATCTTGAGCGGAAAGTCTAAGCTACATAGGTAAA